CCATTCACATTTTTATGGTTCCTATTTTCTTGAAAATGAATGAGCAATGTTTTATTTATTTTTTATTTTTAGAATAATATTATGAAAGGAAACTGCTGTGCTTTCAAAGGACTGAAACAATAATTGGCAGGCACCCACATTTTAACATGACATTCATATTAATTTCCTGTGTTATGCTAATCTGTGTACCAAACAAATATATTTTCTGGGCCATCTGGAGTATATTACAGTCAACTTAGCTATCCAATAAATAAAAAATTATTAGTCATAAAAACACATCTATAAGCTGAAATTAACCTAGCGCTGTTTGCAATGATGTGCAATTCTCATCTTTCACAATAACTATACACTATACAAAATGTGCCCTTTTTTCTGCTGAAGTCTCTTGAATAGAGATTGAAGCTTGACTGACAGTTTTCTTGGCAACACTACCAAAATTGTTTGCCACTGCTTCTTCCAGGATGTTTTTTGACTTTCCAATCTAGCCTACAACCCAGATATTCCTGGGTCATTTCTGAGTCAAGAACTAATTAGGCCCAACCCAACCCTGATAAAACAGAAGGTCAATGAGTTGCTGCTCCATGCTGAGGTTTTTACCATCTGTAACTAATTCCTTAAACATAATATCTCTAATTAACAATCTATCTGAACCAAATGTATAAAATATACCATGGTGTATTAACTAATCCTAAAGGTGACTTAACAGGAAACTTATATTTATTTATAAAAATGAGAGAAGGAAACAATTAGCAAAAGTCCACAATGAAAAAAATGCTTTTTCAAAGAAGTTGTATGAATTGAATGGGAATATTTCTGAAAATACAGGATTACAGTCAGTTCTGTCTGTAACTCAGACTACAATGCCAAATCAATAAATAGAACAACAAGGTCAGATTAGCACCCAGAAGAATATTATAAGATAGAAAAAAACCAAGATAATATTTTTTTATCAGTTCCATGTTAAAAACACTCAAACTTATCATCAATGATCCATAGCCCACTCTTAATTATGATATATGGCTTTCAATATTATGTCTGTAAATGTTTCAGACAGTTGTTTCAGACAAGAAACTCTACTTATCTATAATAAAAGATTACCCAATAACACAGGGCACAAGAATGGAGTGCTGGGGCAGATCCAAATGCCAATTCTGCTCACATAGTTACTCTGGCAACACTATTCCAGGACAAATAATGTCTTACATCATCAGGAGATGATATACTTGGTCATCTTCCAATGTGATATGTGTGATCATTTGCCTCTAATGCCTCATATTCTTTACTGTACAAAGGAGAAGCAGGCCAATTTTCACAAAAGTGGTAGTAGAAACAAATATGATAAGAGGAATGGCAATGCAGTATGTAAAAAAAGAGGAATCTCTTCTCCTCTAGAACACTGAGTTACCAGCTTCAAGGTAGCCATCTCTGAGTAAAAGAATTCTAAAGGCCAATCTCACAAGACAGCTGAACCACAGGTTCAACTTAACTTCCTGCTGAATAAGCAGAGATAAAATATTTTTATTACTCTACATAAGTTAATTTATAATAAATTTTGTGTAATACCCAAAATCTGGATGGGGAATGGCCATGGTCAATAATGTACTAATCCCAGTCTATACCTTCTGTGTTTAATTTCTCTCTGATCTCTTTAATATTCTCCTACTGTATGCATACGTTGCATACATTCACACTTTCTCTCAAAGAAAAGACAGTAGACTCCAATCCATGACAGTTTATGCTATAATCCATTTAATAATGTTTATGGTACCATAATGTTTTTTATTGTTGCTGTTGCAACAGAGTAAGATATCTTTCCTTCTGGATATTTTAGGACTTTGATAATTAAATTGTAAATTGGGAAAACAGGAGAATTCATCTAGTGATTTGCTGAAAAAAAGGCAGCTGGAAAATAAGGAGTATTCCATAGATCAGGTGGTCTGACAAAAACAGTTCCCTCCCTGATAACTATCCTTTTGACATCCAAAGAGGATACATCTGAGTGTAAGCCACAACTGACAATACATAAGCAGATTCTACTTACAGCAGGCAATCTTTAGTTTCTTTGTTTTAGACAGGTAGAGCATTAGAGGTAAAAATCAGTATTTTGCCTGGAGGAAAAAATGGAAGGCAGTGAGTTTATGGGTTCAAGTTAAAGCATGTACTAACTTCTCTGTAATCTTTACAACTGGTATTTAAATTAAGAATAACTTGGCATGCAAACTATTTCAGCACTCCTGCCAAAGTCAGAGCACTTAACGAATGCTAAATCACAAAAGCAGAATAGAAATATGAAGCAGGATTTGCTGCCACTCTTCTTTTACTGTGAGGAAAAAAATCCAATCCAAACAATAGGGGGGAATAAATTTAGATAGCTCTTGTGATGATATAAACATTAAGACAAAGGACTGAAGGCCTTGAATCCAATGTACTAAGCCTGTCCTGCTCCAGTCCACAATATCTTTTTGAGCTTTATGAATTTGGGAATTCCCAAGAACCCAGCTATCAAATCTGGGCTGCCAAAAACATGAGACCACTAAATAGTAGCAAATATATTTGGGTTTTGTAATTTGGTATGAGATTGTTTTTTTTCTATGTTGAGCTAGAACAAGCCAGGACTCTACCCATATACTTTTTAAAAAACATTATTTGTATTCCTCTCCAGCATTATTCCAGCTCCAGAATGGAAGCAAACAAAAACTGCATATTGTTAGCTAGCACAATTTCAAAGTTTAATTAGTAACTTTGACCAGCAAATGTATTAATTCAGAGGATTTACATGATTTTTTTCATAAAAATGTTTAAAATTATGAACAAGGGCTTTGGCGTTTGAAGTTTATTTAGGGGTGAGGGGCATACATATACATAAACAATCTCCACCAGTACCCAGCAATCTTCAGAAGGATTTTTGGGAATATGGAGTGAAGTTTCTTCTCTCTTCCTTGCAAACCAGTTCAAAATAATTGATTTCTTCTTGCTTATAGCAATACAACTAAGCAGGTCACTTATTCCTTTTCAGCAATCTAATTTAATTGTTTCACTATTTTCCTGCTGCTAACTTCTTCACCCAGGTGTTCCCAAAACAGTGGGATAATGTTGCTGCCCCTCAGTGTGCCTTATAGGCCAGCTGCAAATATGCTTTCATTAAATTGTTTTAACAGGGGCAAACTTTCATGAGTTACAGTGCTGCTATCAGTGCAGAACTTTGGGCAGAAAGTAAGATATAAATAAAATCAGTCCAGGACCCAACTCAAAAGAATGTGTAGGAGGGCACCATAACTGTAGTAACTGACTAAAGAGCTTTACCCTCTCTTCCAGTAACATTCCTAGTGGCACTTCTATATAGCTACTGTTTCACCATCAAATGGTTAAAATAAAAAGAAGCCGTAGTGGGACTGTTTTCATTGCTAATTGCCAAGGAATCTCATGAATTAAGTAGTTCTTCCTTCAGCTGGCCAATGGGGGAAGCACAAAAATCAGTGTTTTGGCCAGCACTCTACTGCCATGTATCTTTTGTTTTGATGAAAGAGTGGGAAAATCCTGCCTCTAATGCAGGTGATTAGCAAAATTCACCATCAGATCCACCAGAGGTGACAAGTGATAGGAAAGTGTCATGGTATTTTGAATTCAAGAGGGAGTGGGAGGAATTCAGTGACCTAGAACAAGGTGATTCTTACTGCCACTCTACAGTGCCCAAGAAACTGCTTCAGTGCTATATTTGCAGTTTTCTCTGGAACAGCCACTGAACTGGAATTTAATTAGCTCAACTACAGAAGATTCCCCCCCAAGACCAACTGTGTTGTAAATTGGGCATGCTGCCAATCCCAGATCAGGAGTCTCTAAGTGGAAGGGGTTTAATTAAAGCACCAAAATTATTATACTGTATTCTCCAAGTGAACTCTACTGCCCTTGAACAAAGGAACAGATATCAGTCTTTGCTGCCATCTAGTGATCATCCAGTTTTTGGCCGCCCAGATTGATAGGATATTCTTCCTATCTTGAAGAATAGCTTCTCTCTGAAACTATCTAATCCTCATTAAATTCAGGAATTGATCAAATAATATTCAACAGAGCAGAGTAGGACTTCTCCTGATAGGTCACAGTTCACTGGAGTTGGAATCCCTCCAACAAGGACAGCCAGCTTTTGGAGGCACCAACAAACATAATCAGAACGTTGAGAGCATGTGGTGGGAACATTCACACAATACCTGGCCCATGGCCTTGTGCAATCACAAAATGTCTGCCATGATGAATGTTGCCAGTTCCAAAACTGAAATAATATATGGCAAAGATACAAGAATTACACATTTATTTGCAGCTAAATCATACCTTAGACAAGTTGGTAAAAGCATAAAGCATAATTATTCAGGATGTCATTATTTAGCTTCCAAGTAGAATACTGTATTTTCTTTTCATCTTTCCCTTGAACAATTCCATCTTTTCAGGCCTAAACCAAGCAGTTCATGGGAATTACAGATGCATCAGGTTCCCAAACCCAGTTTCAGATCTTTTTTAAAAAGTTATATTTCAATCACCTTTTCTTAGACGGCAGGGGTGACGGCACTCGGAGTTCTTTATGAAATTGTCTTTCTTTTTCACCAAAATCGATGTTAGGCCTCTGTTATATACCAGGTGTTTATATTTCTCTAGACAGGCTTATACTTAAATCTGCGATCGAGCGTTATAGCATGAAAATGTTACACGAAATTAACACATACAAATTCCATAGAGCTTATGACTGTGTTTATCATCACACTTCAACGATGTATGAACAGAAAAAAAATGTAATTCCGAATCTGACTATTTAAATATTTGTTACGTCACCCATCAACCCGGGGGGAGGAGACGCAGCCAATTCAGGATCCCGTCACCATGGGAACCATGGAGCGGAAGTTCTGGAAAGGACCTGAGCGTACAGTCGCGTTATTATGATGTCACTAAATTCTTTCCGTAAACAAACGTCGATTTACTTTTCCCCCGAAAGCGCGTGCGCGTGGGCCTCGCCTGCGAGGGAGAGCGCTACCTTATTTGGATACGCTAAAGCCACTTTAATCCGTGTGGTGCATCTTTCCCTGCTGTCATTTAGGATTCCTTTCTCAAATTGAAGAAGAAACACTTAAGCTAGTGAATTCAGGACAGGCAGGATAGTGGACTCCGCGCCTGCGGGGGCTTTTTGTCGGTTGCCTGGGCATTTTATTGGACCGCCTGGAAACCCTGCGGCCGGGCCCAACCTGATTCTGCCCTTTATTGGGCGCGTCGCTTTCTGGAGGGGGCGCGGGCAGCCCTTGAACCTGCTCCCGCATGTTTGGCCTCTACTCGGTGTGGGAGGCCTTGGAAGGGAAGCGGATGGAGCTACCCTCAGTTCATAGATGCCTCCAAGTGAGTGACGAAGAGTAACTTACTGGGGCAGCTTGAAGCAGCCGTCTCCCTCCGCCTGCGCCACCCTGACGGGTTGGACTGCGGTTCTCATAATCCAAAGCTGCGTTAGTTGGGGATGGCAGGAGCTGTAGGGCAGTGCTTCCCAAGCTTGGCAACGTTAAGACACGTGGACTTCAACTCCTAGAATTCCCCATTGCTGCAGGGCATCGCTGGGGGCAGGCTGCTCTGGAGACCCACTTCGGGAAGAGGGTAGGGCTGTAGGAGGATGGTTGGCTGTGGCTCCTGGGTGCTTCCCGGTGTCTCAGAAATTCCCCACGTAGTTACTTTGCAGTTCTGTCAGCTCCTCTGTGCAGACCACGTAAGGCGCACTCCGTTTTAGCGCTAAACCTTTGGCATTGCTCTTCAAAGAACCAAGTTCTTTTCCTTCCGAGGCAATTAAGAAAAATAGCTTTTTTTCCTCTTGAAGGAAGCTGTATTTTTAATTTAATTTTTCTGATGATAAATCGTGCTGGGAATGTCATGTTGAATCTGGAGTATATACTTCACCAAAGCAGTATAGCTTTCTTTTTCTGTATCAGGAGTGCTTGTGCCTTTGGATAGCTGCGTGATTAGTAGGAAGGTAGCTTTAATCTTCTCCTCCAGCAGTCTTCCAAAAAAAAATGGTGAATTTTATAGCTGTTAAAGTCTTTCTTTCTCTCTCTTTTTAAGACATTTTTGGGAGGCAAATCATGATATGACCATTTATGCATTTCAGGGCTAGACATCAGTGTGCCCCCAAACACCTCTCTTTGTTACTCACAGGCTTCCAATCCCATCTGGTTTCTTTAAAATATCAAAAAAAAAAAAAAGTGGAAAACCATCGTACTGCACAGCAAAGCATCAACAGCAACATTGTATTTGCAGGAATGCCTTTGGGTCACACAAAAGTCCCATTGGGATGAGAAAAGGGGAGTGCATTTTGAGTGGTTAATACATCTTCTAGATAATGGGTGATCTGTGATTGGCCATGCCCACTATTGTAGATACCTTGTAAATAGGTACGTCTCCAGTGGTAGTTATTGTGTGAGAAATCCTGCCACATGCTCTCAGTTCAAAAAGGTTGCCTCCCATTGGTATATCAACCTCTCCCCCAAACCTGAAGGAATTCTAACTCCTAGTAAAATTACTTCTGATGCAAATCAGTCTAGAAAATGTTCTAAAATGACATTTGCCTTGCAGTTTCCTGCAATAGTAAGTTAAGAGATTTTGAGGGATCTAAATCACTCATAATTCATGCATGCCCAAATTAAATGGATGCACAGCTGATCCCATAAAAGTTTCTCTCTGAGTGATAGTGCTATTCCTGGACATATTTATTTTTTAGGATACAAGAATATTCCGTAATGGGAAACCAATAGAAAAAGAGGCATGATGTGTAGAAGAAACAGGTGAATGTGTGTAGTAAAAGGTTAGATGGGCTGGAAGGGGATGCATGCTTTTTTCACCCCAAGTCTGAGAAACACTAATTAAACATAATAGCATACAAGCTCTGGGAAGCTCAGAATGCTCATATAAACTAGGCCCACAAATTTACATTTTATCATATGAAAAAAGAATAGAGGATGAAAGTGGAATAAATTTAAGATTAACAAAGATTAGGTAAATAAGTGAATTTCAAGAGCTGTCATAGTGGATAGCTATTTTGTCTTAACAATTAAAGGAGGATTTAAACAATGAGGATAAAGTAATGTGATCAAAAGAGAAGTACAATTAACAAAGGAGGTGGGTGGCAGATGTGCTGATTGAAAAGTGGGAATAAAATGAAAAAACTGGGATTTTTCTATGATATGTGGCAGATATTTGCAGATGACTTGCAACATGCTTCTCACTTTAGTAATCAGATAACGTATATATTGATAGATATCAGAATTAGTAATAAAGGATATCTGTTGGGGGAAAACATTCAATTGTAGGCTACAATATTTTAAATAATATTCATTTTTTATAAAACAGGTAGATTTGGTTTTTTTGAAAGGTATGTGTAGGTCAGTTCTTTAAAAAGTTTGATTAAAACAAGAGCAGCCTTAAAAAATGAACATGAATGTGGGATATTTCATACTATGAAAGTTGCTACATTGCATTAGATAACTAACCTACATTTGTTTCTAAACATAGGAAAAATTATTTCACTTTTCCAGCTCAATCAAGAAAATCAGCTGCTCCTTAAAAAGCTGAGGCATGTACGCCTAAAAAACAAGCAGTTGGAATATGATGTAGTGCAGTTGCAGGATAAACTACACGGGCAAAAGAAGTGCTTGCCTGCCTGCATCACAAAGAAAGAGTAAGAATAGCTATACTCTATTTATGTACGTGCTTCTTAAGAATCTAAGATTTCAGTTAGTGGTCTAATGTGCGTAAAGATTTAGCTTCTCATCTGTTAGTTTCATGATTAAAGCAATATTGGATTCAAACTTACATAGAATCATTGATGAATGAGTTTAAATTGAAGGCCAATCCACACATGTTCATATTTTCTTTCCTAAAGTTTATTATTTTTGAAGAATTCACATAGCAATGTAATGATTAAACATTAAGATAAATATAGTTTGTATCATTCTCCAGCACAATATTTTAATATAACTTACTAACTTTTGATAGATTCAGCTAGTCTTGTGAATAATGTTTGTACAGGTTGTAGCCCCAGTTCTTGAAAAGTTTTGGCCTTTTGTAATCAAGACATTGTATGGCATTTGCAAGACTGGTTTAATACATTCATTATTTTAATGAAAGGATCTTTATGGATTCTTGGTCTTTTTTCAGGGCAATGCATATAGGCAAATGGAAGTGGGTTCTCTGGCAGACTTGGTGGGAAATCCTTTATATCCTATAAATAGATCTTACTGGATTTAATAAAGTTTTCTCCCAGAAAGATGAGCTTGGGTTTGCAGAATTAAATGGGAATCTTTTGTATGAGATTTGAAGTTATAGTATAGTTTGGGTTTAGTTTGAATAATTGGCAGAGGCTTCTTAACCAACGTATAAAATATTTAAATTGGAGAATGTGGAGGGTTTTTAACTAGCCTTCCCAAATGGGTGTCTGCCAGATGTCTTGCTTTATCACCTTAATGCAGAATAGCCATAGGCATAGGATGCCTAGGGATGATGACATTATAGTCTCACACAACTGGAGATATCAAGTTAGAAACGCTACTGTGTGCTGCATTTTATGATCACATGGTAACTATCCATATCTTCTTCCTCTGAATATATGTTTTTTTTATAAGGATGGTATTTATCTTCTTTGGGATAAAAAAATATAATTTTAGCATTCTTTCTCAACTTTGTTGGATTTTTTAGGAGGGTTAGACAAAATACCATTACATTAGTAATATTGATTCAATCTGAAGAAAGAGCTTTTAATTAATTGGCTGTTTAATTTAGTGTACAAGTTCAAACAGAAGTTCACTTATACCATAGAGGTGATGGGGTCCATCACAAGGAACATGAACCAATGAAGGAACATGCCAGGTGAGTTTTGAAACATTAGTCAGATATATATCTTGGCAAATAATTTGAGTTCTTGGCCAACAACACAACATTGTTTGCAAACAGAAGTACGTGTTCCCAAGCAGTAAGCCTTTAATGACACCACAATCAGTCCTTATCCATTTATCCATAAATGTATGGATCCATCTTTGTGTTACTTCCTGCTCAGTGTTGAACCATTTGCTAAAGTCCACTATTCTTATTTTTTTTTAAGTGTATAAAAATGTTCTGCTAGTTTCCCCTTCTATTACAGATGACAGAAACAAAGTTACATCTGTGGTGTATTTTTTTTAAATAGACATGCCAGATAGAAAGCTTCCAGAGGGAGCTTTTTTAAAACACATTTTTTAAAAAATAATGTTTTACTGGTAGACTGGTAAAATGCTCATTTAAAAAAAAAAAAATCCTGTTGATATTTCATTGCTCCATTGCTGGATCAGTGGACTACAGCAGATGCATGATTTTTTATTTCTCCCAGTGGGACACCAGTGGGCCAATGAAATGCTTATTGCACTCCCACTCCATTGCTTGTGCCATGAGCATGAGAGGAAGAGAAATGCATGGGCATGCAGCAGTCCACTGAAGGAAAAGATGTTGAAGGACACAACATGAGATGTCAAGCACAAAGGAGTCCACAATGGGGGAATTCTACACGGGCCCTCTGCTAATTGGAAGCAGCCAATGTGTGGTCACTTTTCCAATAGAGATTACTGGTATTGCAGGAAGATGATACCAGGTCTTCAAAAACCCACCCATATATAGGAAAGTGATTGGTGCTTGCAATTTTTGCATGGGTGGGAGAGGCACTGAAGCAAGAAAATCTACCAGTTGGAGGCTATGGTGAGCACAGTCTGGATAGGACAGCAGGCCATTACTGTGGCTAAAATAGAGCAAGGGGCTGAAATCTGGGAAAGGCTTTCATAAACCATCTTCATTCCCTGCTGGTTTGTGCATAGGAGACAAGCAGCTTAAGGTTGTAGTGTGGAAAAGCTCTTAATCATCCCACCACATTACACTTCTTATTCACATATTTTAATTCTAAAATAAAAACAAAATCCTGTTCTTTACATACACTATATGGAATCCACTAAACCTGTGCTTCCCAACCTTGGCCATTTCCAAGTGTGTGGACTTCAGATCCTGGAATTCCACAGCCACATGGCTACTGATGAGAATTGTTGGAGCTGAAGTCCAAATACCTGGGAATGGCCAAGGTTGGGAAACACTGTACTAAGCACTGCTATTAGATAGTTTTCATTCTTTTCAGTTTGAACAAGCTTTTCTATAGGTATTCATATTTGGAAGACTAATGATTCTTTTACATTTACTTTTCCAGAGTACTTCAGATGTATAATGAACTGAAGAAAAGGTATAATAAAGGAGTCAAAACAAACCAAAGACAAAATGAAACAGTTGCAATGCTGTCTGTAAGCTTTAATCATTTGACCATTTTGACATAAACTAAAAAAAGAAATGTGTTTAGGATCTACTAGAATATAAGTAGTGCTGTATTTCTTGTATGTTTCATAAGTATATTGCAAGATACATTTGCTGGTCTGTCATTCAGTTGCTGTTTCATTATAATAAGAAATTGTTACATCTCTCTCTCTCCATCACTGCTATTAAAGTTAAATGACAGTGTCATGAGGTATCTATGTACCGATAATCCATGTTTATGGCATTCTCTTCTTGAATCGTTTCACAATTCTTTTATATATTGCCAGAAGAGTGATAAACCTTTCCTTTTTAAGTTAACACATTCATAGCTTGAACAGATGTAGGATAATTTAATTTGGCTTTTTGTTTTTATGATGTATCTTATTTTTAAGTGTTGTCATTTGCTCCAAGCTCCTGGGAAGTAGGGAAATCAGACAGTTAAGATAGAGAAACAGGCTTCTGCAAGCAGATCTTCTTTTGAATATATTTGAAAGGCCTTTCCCCCTTGAACCTAACTGCAGGACAGATATACCCTGCAACATATTTTTTCTGCCTTGTTGCAATGTCATTGCCTTAATTTCATACCCAGCCCATGAGTGAGGCAGCCTTAAGTTATCCTTAGCTATACTGTAAAGTAGTCTTTTCTCATGTATTCTAATACTGTCCAAGGACAGCTTCAGAGAGTTTGGTATGCTTTGTCGCTAATAGTGGAAAAAAGTCACACGATGGCAATGACTTGAAACAGAAGTACAGTGGGGCAAAAAAGTATTTAGTCAGCCACCAATTGTGCAAGTTCTTCCACTTAAAA